TACAACAAGACTCTTTCTGATTGCAGTTCGGAGGAATTGCTATCACAAGTTGAAAATCGTGAAAGCACCATCGTTATATGTGATGATAATGGGGATTTCTCTGATCAAATGCGTATTGTCACTCGAGCAAGACTTGGAGCAGCCATCTTTATTTCTGAGGATCCAGGAGTGTTCAGATCTGCTACATTTCCCAACCCTGGAGTTGTAATTAACAAAAAGGAAGGGAAACAAGTCATCAATTATGTGAAAAATAGCGTCACTCCCACAGCCACCATCACATTCCAAGAGACGTATCTAGATGCAAAGCCAGCACCTATAGTTGCTGCATCCTCTGCACGAGGCCCCTCCAGAAGTTACTTGGGAATTTCAAAGCCAGACATATTGGCACCAGGGGTGCTGATTCTTGCAGCATATCCACCAAACATATTTGCTACAAGTATTGGGACAAACATACAATTGTCCACTGATTACATTCTTGAATCAGGCACATCGATGGCTGCACCACATGCTGCTGGAATTGCAGCAATGCTAAAAGCCGCGCATCCTGAGTGGAGTCCTTCAGCTATTCGCTCTGCCATGATGACAACAGCTGATCCTTTAGACAACACTCGAAAACCTATTAAAGACTCTGACATTAATAAAGCCGCCACGCCCCTAGACATGGGAGCAGGGCATGTTGATCCCAACAGAGCTCTTGATCCTGGCCTAGTATATGATGCAACTCCACAAGATTACGTAAATCTCCTATGCTCTCTGAATTTCACAGAAGAGCAATTCAAGACAATTGCAAGATCATCAGCCAACCACAACTGCTCAAATCCATCAGCTGATCTGAATTACCCATCATTCATTGCCTTGTACAGCATTGAGGGAAACTTCACTTTGTTGGAGCAGAAATTCAAGAGGACAGTTACAAATGTTGGTAAAGGTGCAGCTACATATAAAGCAAAGCTAAAAGCTCCCAAGAACTCTACAATTTCAGTGTCACCACAAACATTGGTGTTCAAGAACAAAAATGAGAAGCAAAGTTATACTTTGACAATTCGCTATATAGGTGATGAGGGTCAAAGTAGAAACGTTGGTTCGATCACTTGGGTTGAACAGAATGGTAACCACTCTGTTAGAAGTCCGATAGTAACATCTCCCATTATTGAGGTCTGGTAATAAATTCTGCTACTTTATGTGGAATGTATTGCATTGGGATGCATAGGGCCATCAGATTCTTGAATTGGAAGTACCAAACACAAGAACAAAGGGAAAGCTAGATGGGAAACCATGTATACTGTATGAATTGTCTGTGCCTATCCCAAATTAATAAATAAATTTTTAGTCAGTAGTATTTATTAGTGCACATTTCTCCTTTGTCTTCAACGTTTTCACCAATTATTACATATAGTACAAGATACCACCTTTTTCATTTACTATCAATGGATAAAATATTATTGCAAATACAGCTCCATCACTTTCTAAGCTCAACTTGAGTAATAATAACCAGCAAAGTCATTTAACTTAATGTTTTTTATCATCTGAGCGTTATATGAAATGATTTTATTGACATAAAACAAAGTTGAATAACTTTGCTATTACACAAGTTTTCCAAAAAAAGTCATGTATAATATGACAATTATGGCCCCCACTTAAATTTATTTAGTTCAACTAGTTAAATATATGTAGCCTAGCTAGCAATCACATGTTCACACTCATTTGCCAACACACTTAAGCTAAGCTGCATTTCAATATTTGGAGGAAAATAAATTGAATCTCAATCGTGCAGCTCCCCTGTCTCCACCTAAATATCCACAAAAAAAGTTATTTTATTTTAGAGAATTGGAAAAAAAAGTAATTACTACTTTCTAAGCATTTTTAAGATATTGATAACATAAATTACTATTTTAATATTAATTAAAAAAAATTAATTAGTCAAAACTCAAATATTTTTTTAAAAAAATAACATAAAAAAATATAATGCAGTAGATAAGACACTTTCTTTTTAACCAAATCTCGAGTTTGAATTCTGAATATGTAAAAATTGTTACTAGAGTAGAACTCCTATGATGGATACCGGATAGGAATGGAATGAAAAACCAAAAAAAAAAAAAAATCACAAAAATATGTCATACAAAAACTGGAAATTTGACAAAACAGGTCAGAAAACGAGCATCTCACGCTTGTTTTTTTTCTCTCTCCATCGCTATCATCTTCCCTTCCTTCACACGTTGATTATGCATATGACAATCGAAAAGTCATGTGGGACTGGTGGTACTGTTTCTCTTTCAACTCCAACAAAGACAACAACCCTTATTCCCACAATTTGCTCCCAATTCGACATGAAAATCGCCCAACAATTCAAAATCCATCTCCGATTTCCCGTTCCACGATGATTCTCACCTCTTGGCTAAATCGTCGCCGCTTCCGGCGCTACTTCTGTCTCTTTCTCTGCTCTCCTTTTCTTCTTCCTTTGTTTTGTGCTACTTGCCCTATCATTTGTGCTGCTGAAATCTGCTACCGTCTGTGCTATAGCCGCCGCAGCCGATCGCCGTGGAAATCGGAGGAGAGATTCGACGGCGGAGGCGGCGATGGGCGGGGACGGTGTGAGGGAGCGGAAGGTAGTATAGATGAAAGTCAAGAGACAATGTTGTTGCGGAGGTATCTGGATGATCAACTGCTTCTAGTGATTGAATCTGTGTACAATTGTGGAGATGAAGAAGATGAAGATGTGGAAGTTGCAGATAGTAGAAGCCTTCTTCTGCAATGATAGAAGAAATCCAGAGGTCTTTGGTTTATCTCTTTTCCTTTTTGGTTTTTTTGTACATACAAGTCAACATTGATAATTGGGATTCTAAAATCTCGCCAACAAAGTAACCGTTCAGATAGTTAATCGATTGAGTTACTAAGAGTTCTCGAAAATAGAATAGTTATGGGCTTTGTAATCTTCAGTATTTTCACGTCTGGTCGGAGGAAAGGAATAATTTTCCCCAATATATCTGAAATTTAATCAAATAGAACGCGAGATATTTATATCAAATCACTCAATTTATTATATGGTTAAGTGAGTTATTAGTCAAGTTTTTATACCCTTTTGGGTTCTTTGTTATTTTTATTGTGATAAGATTGATTTTTGAACTCGTTTGCTGCACTTGTATTTAAGGTTGATTCATATAATTTTTTATAATGGCATAGATATTAACAATTATAATAATAGTAAAAACGATATACTATGTGTTATGCATGATATAAAATAAATTGAAGGAAAAAAATACAAGTTCATAGATATAGATATTTGTTATGAATTCAATGCATTTGGCCAAACATGTACCTAATTAATATTCGGCTCAACTTTTGTAACATTGTACTAATGTTTAGGTGATTTTTTGTCCAATAAATTAGGATGTTCTTTACTTTTGAAAGATATGATTTGAAGATATTTGAATAAGATATCTTAATATTACATTTTTTGTGTCTATTGTTTATATTTTTCGTTCTGCTCACATTTTATAATAATGTTCTCATTCTAGTTCTTTTTTACTCTATGAGGCAATGTGATTTTTTTATGCTATAATTTAAAAATTCAAAGAAAATGGAAAAGTTCAGTTTCCCATTTTTCGAATGAGACAAAGTAAGGAAAATGTGACTGCTAACTAATTTTTTGATGTTTTCTAACTGTAGTAACAGGAGGAGTTAAAAAATCTGAACTTATATTGCTTATGTTATGCCTAGAGTTAATACTAGGATCGACTGTATATAGTTGTAACAAGTGATGCAATCAGAATTTTTACTAATAAAATTCAAAATATAAAAAAGTAATTGTAGGAAATGAAAGAGATTCAATATTTATTATATATATACACAAAAATAACAATTTTAACCTTATATATACAGTATAATTTTTTGATAAAATAAGATTTAAAAAAATTCATTTGTGATACGCTAGCTCCAAAGTTGTTATTGTATTGTGTACACTAGATAAATTTTCTTTTGTGATGCTTCATTGGTGTGAAGCGTTGGGATGAGAATCAATCAAAGGATAATTGAGTACCTAAGGTCAATAATCCAAGATAATGAGATTGACGAGAATGTTACATCGTATTGGGGTGGGTTAGATGAAATGGAGGTTTACATTTCGTGTTTTGTGCAACATGAATTTGCTTTCAATATTTAAAAGGCAAATTCTACGAAGTGTTAGTTAGATCGACTATTTATATGGGACAAAGTGTTGGTCATTCGAAAGCTCTCATGTCAAGAAGCAGGGGCGGCTGGTAAGCTTTGAAAAAAAGACTTTGGCCTTAGGCCCCCAAGTTTAGGGGGCCCCATTTTTTGGTTTCTTACGTAGGATTAAACTAAAAAAAAAAAAAAAACTAAGACTTTAAATTCAAACCAAATTAATGAGATGACTTGATATGACTATTACTTTTTACCTTTTTAATGTGTACTTTTTTAATTGTACAAGTTATCTTTTTTTTTTTTTTACCTTATTCTTTTTCTAATTTATTTTTATATATTCTATCCTTCTCTCTTCCTCTCTTCTATTTCTTCTCTCTTTTTCTTTTCTAATCTTATATCTCTCTTAATCAAAACTTAAGAATTTACTTGTTCTATTGATAATTTCAATTTTCAAAAAATATAGTTTATGTTTTTGATTTGAACAATTTGAAGTATATGAAAATATTTTTGGTTTTCTAGTTAGTGGGAAAAAATTGAGATCATTAGATGATGAGAATTCAAAAAAATATTGTCTTAATCTTGAATGTTCCTTAAAACATAATACTCACTCCGATATTGACGGTTTAGACTTATTTTCTGAGTTAAAAGTGTTAAGGAAAATCATACAAGTAGAAGACAATACTCTAATTGAGATACTTAATCAAATAAAAATACTTGATTCTTTTCCAAATGCTTACATTGCTTATAGAATAATGTTAACAATTCCTGCAACAGTCGCTTCAGCAGAAAGAAGTTTTTCAAAATTAAAAATAATAAAATCGAATTTAAGATCAACAATGTCTCAAGAAAGATTAAGTGGTTTGGCTATATTATCGATTGAAAAAGAATTATTAGAAGAGATTGACTACACAAAAATTATAAACAATTTTGCATCTCAAAAAGTTAGAAAAATAGATTTGAAATAAAAACATATATAATTTTTAAAAATTTTTTAAGGCCTCTAGTTTGATTTTGGCCTTAGGCCACCAACGGGTTTGAGCCGCCCCTGTCAAGAAGAAGAGTGGAAGACATGAGAATGTTGAGATGGATGTGTGGGCATATCATGAGAGATGAGATTAGGAATGACAATATTTGAAATAAGGTAAGAGTGGATCCCATAAAGGATAAGACGCAGAACAATTAACACTTTATTATATGGGTTGGAAAACTTTGCAACATTTTGGCAGTAACCTGATATTTACAATCCTTTCAAGCAAACTAGGCACTATGTTGCAGGGCTCCTTACCCTTCGGGGCGGCCCAATGGTTTGGGCTTGGGACTTCCATGTTGGAGGTCTCAAGTTCGAAACCCTTGCCAACGAAAGCAAGGGGTTTGCCTTCTGGGTCGAGCTCGTCGCATCGCACCAGGCTTGCCTAGTGTGAGAGCCTAGTGTGGATTACCTCTCCTGTGTGGTTTGCGAGCTATTGCATAGGAGGGGTTTTTCTACCCTATGCGCACCCAAAGGGTAGCGACTGAGGGTTTCCCTTGTCATAAAAAAAAAATGTTGCAGGGCTCCTTGTGTGTTTGGTTTTGTATATGTGATCACTGGAAGGATCCACCTGATTTGGGTTTGCACATATAGGACAAAAGCAACAATGGTACTTTATCCAACCTCAAAAATAGTGCACAAAAGGGCATTATTCAAGCACGTGATAGACAATCTAATCCAAGTAACTTCCATATTTTGAGCACCACACACACGCCCTCTGCTCAAACCTGTATTGTTTTTTTTCCTTATAAAATCTATTTTATTTATTTTTTTCTTTTTTTAAAAATAAATAAATTTATAAGCATCTCAGAGAATAAAAGATGGAAGAACAAGAGGAAGAATGCCTGTTTCAAGTGTGAATTTGTGGGTAAGCATATGCAGTCTCACAAATAAACCTAAAGAATATGCCTAGTGAACCAGATACATTAAGATGGAAACACAATATTGATGGGCAATTCTCTGTTAAAAGGGTTTATAAAATGGAAGAAAGGGTACAGTGTAGAGGGCAACCAAAAATATGGAGAAACTTATGGAATAGTCCATCCCCAACCAAGGTAAAATGCTTTACTTGGTTGGTGGTTAAAAGAGCATGCCTGACACAAGAAGTTTTGAAGAAAAAAGGGGCCATCATAGTTTCCAGGTGCTTCTTATGCAATGAGACAAATGAAACAAACAGTCGTCTATTTTTACACTGCACTTTTACAGCACAACTTTGGTCTATTTCTGAACATAACAAAGACAAGCTGGACTATGCAGGAGCATACTGCAGATTTGCTTAGTTGCTGGATGAAAAGAGGAGGCAGCAAAAGTCAAAAGAAGTGGTGGAGGATCATCCCACAATGCATCTGGTGGACAGTTTGGAGAGAGAGAAATGGGAGGTGTTATGAAGATAGATCCAATTCCATCCAGAAAGTTAAATGGAATTGTATAATATCTTTCTACTTTTGGTGTAAAGAAGTAGGTTTAGAGGATATAGATCAGTTTGTAGATTTATTAAGATCTCTGTAAGTATCTTGTTTTCTAGTTGCTATTTTTTTTATCTAACACTTTTTGATGGTGTCCAGCATATCCTTAATGCTGAGGAATACACATTTACCAGTTTCAAAAAAAAAGTGAGACTGAGATGATTCGAGCAATATTGATAGGAAATGAACATATGTTCCAATGAGGTGTGAAAGGTTAGTTGTAGTAGGCTTGAGGAGGGTAGAGATAGGCCAAGTAAGTATTGGCATGAGTTCATTAGGCAGAATATGACATAACTTCAATATCACCGAGGATATGACCCTTGACAGAGGATACGGAGGTCAAGAATTATGATTGAAGGTTAGTAGGTAGTCGGACATATTTCTTTTCCATCTTTGGAATACTAGTTGGTATTTTTCTTGTATTTTCTTGTTCTTAAATTTTTATTAATACTTGCTATTTCTTTAGCCTCGATCTATCAGCCTGCCACCAGCCCAGCCCCCTCCCCATTTGGGATCTTGATAAGATGGGCTAGGGCCATAGATCATTTTTATGAAAGATTCTAGATCAATCATATAATGATAGGTGTGTGATGCAGCAACTACTCAACCTTCAAATGTTTAGACACATCTGAAAGGAGGATACTCTACTTGTAGTCGGTGGCTGATTCTATGGTTCGAATCTGTGACATAGATCACATGGAGGAGGATAACTTTTACCGTTGCTCCAGTTCCCCTCTTCAACAACTTCAAACTATAAAACTAGTTTAGTGAGTGAACTCCTGAGTCAATTTGTGTCAAACAGATAAAATTCATTCCTCTTTATCATATGTTACCCAAACAAGCAAGGAAATTGCTATATTTAACTTGGTCATACAATGGGAACTCAAGTCAAGTAACTACCTCAGCTCAAATTGGAGAACAAGCAACTTCAGTTGAATGACAAAGCCACACGATTAGCCAACATATGCACTATTCCGCCCACGCCTTAACTGTATTTAGACTTTAGGTATAAGATCTGCACTTGAAAGGAAGGTCATTCATTAACTATAATACATTGCGAACTTTGAACATCACATTGGTAGTCCATTGCAGATTTTGAACAACATTACAGATTAGTCATCCTGAAATGCACTCATAAAATTGCAATTTATCATCTCTATTGTCACAACAATCGTAACCAATCAAAAATGAATCTAGTTCTTAGTCTACAAGATTAGCTCGACTACATACCAACCACTAATAAGAACAGAACTGTTACGTTAAATATGTTACCAAACAAACACGAATTTAGATGTTACAGAGTGAATTATAGCTATATCGTGGGTCAATGCGACCTGTAGTAGGAGTCAAAAGCTGTACCAGTAGATCAAATTGTCGTCATCAAGTGGTAGAGGTTGAATGCGGAAGACTTTGAAAATGTTTAGCTCATTGCGTTGTGACACTCTTGGCAAGATTGCGAGGTTGATCAACATTGTATCCACGCAGTACAGTAAGATGATAGGCCAATAACTGAGACAGACGACAAATACAAGACAATAATTAAGCTTGACTGTAAAATCTCAAACAGAAATTAAATAAAAGGAGGAAAGGAAAACTGATGTGCAGCAACTATCAGATTCAGGAAATTTCACAGAATTTACTGAAATCCTTGTGAATTCTGCTAAGCCAGTAAATTGATCAACACGCCAAAGTTTTCCTCTATTTCCCAAAATAGGGAAAAGATGGAGGCAAGTGAGAAAAAGAGGTAGGGAGGGGTTTGAACTTCTTTTTTTCTCCAAGGAGTTTGAACTTAGAATAAGATGAAAAATGCAGGTAATGGTATAAGAACTAATGCTAGTCTATCATATTGCATATGGTCTTAAGTGATTCTTGCCCCCTAGCATGCTTTCACAAAGTAGAGTTTAAAAATACTGATTGACATGATATGAAGCAATGACCAAGTAAGAGTGTAAGAGGTAAAGATTGACAGAAATATTGCCAATTAATGGCATTCAATGGTTAATACAGCAGCCAATCTAGTGTGGGAAAACAATACATAAAGTACTTACAGAATAAAAACCAACAACAACAACATACACTGTGTATGCAAACCTTACTCCTACCTTGTGAAGGCAGAGAGGTTGGAGTAAAACAATTCAAAGCAAGTTTGAAAAGGATATTCAATATTGAAGAGCTACAGAATAAAAACCATTAAGTGGAAAAGTTATGATCGTGGCACCTTATTTCCCCTCCTGCTATATAATATGTTAAAAAGGGCTTTAGTGTTTACATTGAAGGACCTGATGATTCTCATGTTGAATCTTTCGAGATGTTACCTACCATAACTTTTTCAATTTTTGAGAACCCTAAACAAACTCCTAAAGTGTTACGCGCGCTCACGCACAGTGTCTGGGTGCGTATATAAGAACTGTTGCTCCATTACTTTACAGATCATACCAACTCAAAAGAATTACAAAATATTAAATATTTCAGGTGGATTCCAATTAAATGTATGCTCAATGTTCCACAGTAATGTAAGAGTGCGCACTAGTTTTATTTGAAAACACTGTACACTTGCCATTTCTTTTTTTGGCTAAAATAATGATATAGGCAACTGAAAAAAAAACCCACTTCAAAGTAATCGGAAAGGTCAAAGTTATCTTAGTTTAACGGTACATCTAGATGTACACATATTTGGCTTGCATCTTGAACCAGCTCATTATGGCCATATAGTGAGTGTTCTTTTCATTTTATTCAGTGGTTGAGGCACATAGAGGTAGTTTTAGAATGATATTTAACAAACTTGCATATTTGTACGTCATTTAAAATAAGATTAATATAGAGTAGCCTACTAAAAGATATCCTAGGAGTGCCATAGATCACAAGTTTTGATTAGTAGATCAAAACTTAGATGCATTAAGGTTTAAAATCATCACCAATCCATCTAAAGCAATAAGAAGTATATGTTAGGAGTCAAATAAACAGAAATACGTTACTTAATTTCCTTATTTGTAAATTTATATATGCTTCACATTGAAAGATGTTTACAACAATTGGCATGCTTCTAGTTTTCAAGTGGTATTCCTGATATATTCTAGGCACTTAAAAGGCCAACGAAAATATGTAGAGTTCATATGCATCTAAAAGAATTATCACAGTTCGTCTACCATCATGTTGGGTAATCCAGTTTATAGATGCAGTCCAAAATTTATCAAAGAGCAGACATATTGGTACACAGAATCCAGATCTGCCCCATCCCTGGTGAGGAAGTAGATTTGTCTAACAATCTACTAACTCTAAGAGACACATGTCAAGCTGTATAATGCCCAGAAGTTTAATTGCCACAGTTACAAAGGAAAAGGGAATTGCAGCTTTATCTTATACTGATTTGTGTGAACCAACACGTCTAAAGCTTCAACTATTGGGAATTGGCATTGCTAGTTATATATCCTAGGTCTGCAATACATCGATTTCATGCGTGCTTGGATGCTTCAGGTCTAGTGTGTGGAAATATTTCATAGAATGGTGGTGGCATGACCCCAAACATCCTCTATCTGCTCTGATATCATTTTAAATTGTGTCAACAGCCTCAATTAAAGCTTAAATTGTTAGAGTTTACACATTATGTTTCTTAATTTTAGGTCAGCAATAGCTTTTGTATCATGAGGAAACAGCAAATGTATCCAAGGTAAAATAAATTCTTCACAGAAAGAGGCTTAGATAGAAAAAGCGTATTCACAACAAAAATGTGTTGGGCTAAGAAGAATGTTGACACTCTGTAGTTGTCAGCCAATAGTCACTAAGAGGTCATTTGGTAGGGTGTATAAAAATAATGTTAAATAGAGTATATTAATAATGCTTGCATTAGTAATGCATGCATTAGTTATGCAAAGATTATTTCTTACGCATTGTTTGGTTTGGTGTATTAAAAATAGCACACATTGCATAATTTTTTTAAAACTATTTATTTACAAAAATACCCTTCACAAATATGATGGAAAAGATATAAAAAAGGTTTTGAGGGACAATTGGATCTTTAACCATGCTAATGCATGCATTAAATTCCCTTGCATTACTAATACCATGGATTTCCATGTATTAGTAATACACTCCTCAATACACAATAGAGTGTATAACTAACATTAGTTATACATAGCTTAAAAAATGTACCAAACAAGGTACTACTAATACACAAAGCTAATGCATGCATTATTTTTGCTAATACACTCTACAAACGACCCCTAAAAGTTTTTATTTCACTGAATTGTAAGCCTAAAGAAGAGTAGAACCACTACCTGTAATGGAACTACATTAATTACGGGCTGCAAACAGTCCACAACCTGTGGAACTTCAATTACTCGAGACGATCCACCAACAGAAACAGATGCTTTATCTCCTTCTGTGCACATAACTATCAGTCGACCTTTCCGTGCATGAAGTTGTTGAATGACTGACTGTTGTTTGCTGCAAACCAACCAATTTGTTAAAAAGCTGGCATTCACGGTCGTGAAACTCTCATTATTAGTTAAAGACTAACCTAAAACAAGAATCACGGGTGGCAATTACTACAATAGGGAGATTTTCATCAACCAAAGCCAAGGGACCATGTTTCATCTCTCCAGCAAGTATTCCTTCACTGTGCATGAGTGCCACCTCCTTTACCTTCAAAGCACCTTCAAGAGCTGATGCATAGTTGTAACCTCTTCCAAAAACAAGAAGTGATTGCTCAGCAATTAGCAGCTTAGCAAGATCCTTCATTTCTTCATCAAGCTTGAGCACCGCTTTCACTTTGCCTGAAATTCATGTAACGTACCCAAAAACGGTCATACAAGTACCATGAGCATGCCATACATTTAAGGACAATTAGAAACAAGAATTTTAGCACCAAGTAAAAACTCACGTGGCAAGTAAAATAAACCATCAATTATTGCTTCTCTTCTTGCTTGATTTGAGAGTGTATCAGCTCCGATTGCAAGAGCTAGCATGGCCATCACAACAATTTGGCTTGTGTATGCCTGTTGATCAAAGAGGTAATTGAGAAGCCAGTGCTAAAAGTGACCACTAAAATTCAAGAAACTGTGATTTACCTACCTTAGTACTTGCAACTCCTATCTCACAGCCCGCATTTATGTGAACACCACAGTGAGTGTGCCTAGCAATTGCACTACCAACAGTATTTGTAATGCCAACACATAATGCACCATTTTCCAGAGCATACTCTAATGCAAGCAAAGTGTCAGCAGTTTCTCCTGATTGACTAACGAAGACAGCTGTATCTTCTCGATATATTGGCCCTTGTCTGTCCACTAAATCACTGGCAATCTCCATGGTTACAGGAATACCTAAATTAGAGAAATAAAACTAGTGAAACCAAAGCTACTCTAGAATCTACTCCTTATCTGTTGCTATAGAGATCAAAACAACTTCATTAGAGTTATTAACAACTAACCAGAAAGCTCTTCCACAATGGATCTTGCAGCAAGAGCTGCATTGTAACTTGTGCCACACCCAACAAAAACGATTCTCCTGCTTCTTCTTATGGTTTTGAGGTGATCCTTCAGGCCCCCCAAAAGCACAGTCTTTGCTTTACATGATCCTGCACGTATAAGTCTCCCTCGCATAGTTGTCGTTAAAGATTCTGGCTGCTCATGGATTTCTTTTTGCATGTAGTGCTCATATTTTCCTTTGTTTATCTGTTCTACCTCCATTTCCAAAATGGATAAGGCACGTTGAACAGAAGCAGGTCTACTGAGAGTACCACCATTCTTACCCTTGTCAAATTTGTAAATTGACACTCCTCCATCCTGACTCATCAGAAAGCAAAAGTTATAGAAGCCCACTCTATAATGAACAAGGAAGAAAAAAAGGTCATGTGCATATATTGATCATTAAGTGCTTCGCCTATTTAAAATGTGCATATATTTCTTGATTCGGGATCTTTTTAAGCCTTTCATGGCAATGTGAAAGAAGTGCTTGCTTGAAAAATACTTGATGCAGAGTTCTACACATGCTGCAAAATACTTGATGAAGAGTCCTGCACATCCTACATAGACATTAGCTATAGATTCTAATAGCTTGTCTAAACCCACTGAACTATATTCTAGATGGAAAATTGTAGCCCTAAACACCATGTGAGCCGTAGTTCAACAGGTCATGAATGTGCTTCCCAATTGTTGCCCCACTTTAAGTATCAGAATGCACCAAATGCTCACAAACTCATTCTATCTTTTATGACAGTAGCATCCATGTTTCTAGTAAATTCATTTTATAGATGTATTGAACCTTGGAAATTCTATATTTACTTCTGTATAGTATGATTAGTCTCTCAACTATTCTGTATAGTATGATTAGTCTCTCAACTATTCTATAGGACTTACCATTATCTTTGATAGTTATCTCTATATTATATAAGACTCCTCTACTACTCCATTTCAGGCATCCTATTTCAATTATGTTAGTTACATTACATCTATCATGTTATTCGCCCAAAAGACTGCACCTAATATATGGACTGTTGGAATTTAGACACCATTATCTCGTGACGTCCATGTAATATTCATTTATCTTATGGAACTAAAAGGTGATACTCGTGATAATAAAAAATAAACAAAAAGAAGGAAAAGGGGGGAAATCAGTAAACCACTGCAATCTGCTACGAACTTTTAGCAACCAATTTTGTAGGGAAGTGTGAAATTTGATCCAAGACAAAATATTCGGTATCCGTATTAGAATGAAATGGGCTCAAATTGAGTAATATGGATATCAAGGATTAATGCAGCCAACACCAAACTAGATTGGGATTGATGACATAGTTTTTGTTGTTTGAATGATCCATTCTCCCACCAAACTAGATTGGGATTGATGCATAGTGTTTGTTGTTTGAGTGATCCATTGGCACTATCTTCTGTAGCTTTCGGCTTACCTTACTTCATATTCTCTGGTAATATTCATTGTGTATGGAATTCATTACACTCTGTCCAAGTCCCTGAATAGCTTCAAAATACCATTTTTCTCCGAAACTAAAGAAAAGGGCCCACGTGATGTAGTCACCAACCCACTCCATACAAGTCAAGAAATCCAAACATAATTTGTGAAACAAGTTCAAGTAAATCCCATTTTTATCTGTGAAAAACAAAAGAAGAAGAAAACAGAGAGAGAGAATCCTTCAGCCTTGTAAATGGGAACAACTAGGGGTGTCAAATTGAGCCCAAATATAGGTAACCCACTCAACCCGCCCAGAATTTTATGGGTTGGCTCAAGATAATTTGAATTGGGTTCAATCTCAACCCATTCAAGCCTTATCCCATTTTTAAAGAATCTTTCAATTGAGCCCAATTTAATTTCCAATTTCAACCCATTTTAAGACTCTTTATTTGCATTAATGCAATGTATGTTCTTATATTGAAGGTATGAATTACTATCTATTTTATATCTTCTAGGATTTATCTATCCATTTGTAACTTTTTTATTTTATTTTCTTGAGTGGAAATTCAAATTGTGGTTATAAAAGTTAAATAACAATATGTTAAAATGATTGAGATTAAGTGGGTCAAATTGGGTGGGTCATGACCCAACCCGATATTTAGCCCATTTGAGCCCAAAGTAAACTTGGGTGGGTCATGACCAAGTCCAATTTCTATTTAAGCCCATTTTAACATCTCCAATTTCAATCCAACCCATTCTAACATCTCCAATTTCAATTCAACCCGCCCATTTGACACCCCCAGGAACAACCATGAAGAAGGGGGTATAATTTACAGAAGAGATTATAACAACAATAATATTAACTAGAAAAGAACCTCCTTCAACTGCATCTTCGAAGAAACCAACAAAGATTAAGCTTTTAAGCTCATTAGAATGAAGAGGTGGTATATTAAAAAAGAGAAAGCTAAACAAATTAGAAGGAAATAGTATTCAAAGTTAGCTTAGTAGTAATGAGCTCCATTTACTAATGGCAAATAGCTTTGGATGGAGAAATTAACAATAAGGGAGTACCTTGATGTGAACAACTTCTCCATCCTCAATTACCAAGACCTTTTTAGTATGTTCAACCAAAGCATTGGCATCACTGGACAAGAATAATTCTTTTGGTTGTCCATTGCTTGAAGGAAATTTAGCATCACTAAATGATGATCCTGATGAGGCCTTTTCTTCTAAGTCCTGGAATCAAAAGACACTTGTTAACCTGTGAGCCTATGGATTGCACAGTCAAGTAAATTTCTTCCAATGACCAGTTAGGTGAAAATATATCCAATACGAACGGAAGATCCAAAATGGATCAATTGCAGTCAGCTCTACATAATAAAACCATAGGATGATAGCCTAATCCAAGATATGTCAAACTTGTATACGAGTTTGTACATACAGAAGCTGATATAAGTATTTTATACTACAGGCTGATTTTCATTTTATTGAATAGTCACACACCACTCTTGCAGTTCTGTGGTTAAAAGGCAGGAGAGGTCTTAAGCTAGATTTCTTCTGGTAAAATGTGAGACTGATACAAAGCAAAAAACGAACTTGTGAGAATCAGACTATACTCTCAATTTTGTGTGATAACCCAAAGATGTTTTGCATATCCATACTGGTTGAACAAAACAAGAGGGTAGCAGCTGTATAAGAGACATAAGATCCAAGCCATGAACAATAGTGGTCTAATCTAGAAAATTTCCAAATTGACAAGCACTGAATAATGCATCTTTTTTGTTGACATAAACTCTTATCAAAGGGGATGTAAAAGATTTATATCAGATTCATCCATTGTACAAGTTAACTTACTTTTACACCAAGAAGAAGTGGACTACCACGTTTGCAAGCAATCAACTCATTTGGGTAGTGTCGACTTTTAAATGTGAGAGCATAGGCTCCTTCTAGATGCCTTATTACCTCAAGCACAACTTGACTGAATGTCACACACTGATCACCTGAGACAACAGTCTAACAGTTATTCTACTGGTGAACCGTATCAAGATTTTTATGCTCTATGAGGAAAAAAAACAAACTAAACTAGGAAAGGCATTCCAGAATCTCCAGCAAAAACAGTTTAAGGAGAAGTTGGCTAAAATGCAACTGCATTCATTTATCAGAATAAGATAACCAAAGATCTCTGAAGCTATTCAGTCATCAGGTGTGGTTGCGAAGAAAAGCTTCTCAAACTCCCAAGTAGCTTCATTGAGAACAGGCCAATAAATCAACCAACAAACTCTGCACTGACTTGATTTATAGAAAGGGAATGGTCAAGGAAAAGCAAAGAATGATACATTTATCCTTGATGCATTCAGGTGACTGATATATGAAATAGCATCTGTGAAGAATAATTAACGGAGAAATCCAATGAGTTGAATCATTGGAAAAGACGGGCACAAGAGAGACAAATTACAAAATGGAGATATTACAGCTGTCTAATTCTGACTATTATGGAGAATAGAAATGATAGATCATCCACTTGGTAAAAGCAAGATAGTTAGAACTGATAGTTCAAAGAATTAATATCATATCATGATCAATGAATACTGTGCAGTTAAATACATAAATTTGAACTCTAGAGATATTTAATTATGTCATTAGCAGAAAGTTTAGACCAAATCAAGATGGACAAGATATAATTAAAAAATAAAAAGAAAGAAGAAGAAGCCAAGTAAAATTTGGGGCACAAAGAGTCAATGATTACATTGATACCAAACATTGCAAGATCTCTCTATGACAAAAACTATTCCATAGCTATGAAAGGCTTTGATTAATGGGGAGGTAAGGAAGAAGATTCAAGTATAGCAAGATTACTTTAAAGAAAGCATCACAAAGAAGCAAATTTACCATCTTGCAAGAGAGAAAACCCTCAAGAATAAAGATAGTGGATTCAAGAATTAAAATTTTCTACTAGAAACTTGATGCTATAAAAATTTATTGTGAAAGGAAACAGCAGAGACAATTTATGGCTTATTTATAGAACAGGAGAACCCATTATAGTGGTGTCCAAGCTAGATTGTACAGCCCATTCATTAATTTATCACTCTTTCTTTGAGCAAAGAAGCAAATTTACCATCTTGCAAGAGAAAAGACGCCCAAGAATAAAGATAGAGCATTCAAGAGTTATTGCTACTTGAAACTTGATGCTATAATAATTAATTGTGAAAAAGGAAACAGCAGAGCCAATTTAATACTAAATTATAGAAACAAGAGAACCCATTCAATAAATTTATCACTTTTTTTTTGGGAGTTTAACTGATATTATTAATTTTTTAATTTTTAAGACCGTGACATCTGAGTTGTCGTGTAAGTCCTGTGTAGTGTATGTTTAGTTTTGTATTAGGTATCTATAGGATTTAGCCCTTAGCTGTAAACAGTGGCTGCTTTATTAATTTCATGGTGTATTCTCTTTTCATGTACTTTCTGGTTCCAGGACTTTAGCCGCCTTTGATCTTTATTACTAGCAAATACTCTTCCTCTACATCGTAGCTTTGTTACTGTCTGGCTGCAGATTTCTTTGCTGTGTATAATCACCCCTAGACAGATCACCACAGATTGCTAATGATCTACTCAGAAGTTCATTTAAAGATGTACCTAGAGAGAAATGTGTTTTGAAGCAAACATTGCAAACCCAGGGAACACAACAATGAGTGGCCATGTTATTCCCAGATTTCATGGTCAAGGGAGCAGAAGGAAAAAGGAGGACTAGCTGAGAAGAGTTGGAAGTATGTATTCCAAGCAGTCAACTGGATGTAACAATGTACTTACCTTCTTCATTAGCTTTATCAAAGATAAATTTTGCAAGCTTCGGAATTACTTCTGTGTCTGTTTCAGACTCAAAGGTGAAACCATGTCGGAGAAGGGTCTCTTTCAATACCTGGAGAATCAAAAGACCGTGAAATGCATAAGTACATCATACACAAGAACCTAATGCAGATAAAACTGATCAAGAAATACCTATATGCATAAGAGACTGGAAATGACTGAGACATGACATAACCGAAGGTGCCTACTTATTTTATTTTAGGACTTTGCAGTTCCACACAAAAAAAATTTGAAAAGAGGCACTTCAAAACAACATATTAGATCAAAATAAGAGACTTCAAGTAACCAAATCTAACATATCAAATGATCAGTACCAAAAATGCTACAGCAGATATCTTTCAAGTCCAAACTCATTTCTCAGTTAAGACGAAAAATAAATGAGTGTGCAGCTCAATGAAAGGAAAACCAAAATTTTCCCATAGACAGAAAATAGGAGCCAAAAACAATGTGGGCAAATTGCCAGTACGTGAAAGAAAACAATTAGATCCTGGTGGAAATAAATATAAAACTGTAGTTAGCACACTATTAAGTAATATCGGATTCTGTCTGGCAAGACCGCTTAGCACCATAATCCAGAGACTTCTCAGGTTGTGGTTATATAATGTAACCAGTCTAAGTCCACTTTCTTGTGCAAATCCTGTAAACTATTAGCAGTAAGGTTCTGGAAAGATCAGACAATATGGTAACTGTTCTTCCTAAAGAGTTAAACCTCTGATACTCTCTTCATCTCCAGAAGTTGCTTAAGTAAGGATGTCACATAGTAACGAATCTAACTGCAGCTATCATCAATTGCTTTAGTATGGATAATAGAGCTTCCCCACAATAATAAGACTCACATGACTAATCTGGACGGACTTTCCAAATTAAGAAAAGGTATTTAATGGTGAGTATATGACCTTGCCCATGGTGCTGGCTGTATCATGGCCTTCACCACAAAACCAGAGTAAGTAAACTGTTGATGGGAAAAAGTTGGAAAGTAGATTAACTAAGGAACCAGGACATATTGCCAGAATATAATACTATATCCACCTAGTGCATTTTTCTCTGGGCTGCATGATGCCATGATCTACAAGGGATATTCTTCACTAGCAGAAAGTACCATTCTTTCCTTCCAACTGCTTTCTGACAATAACGAAGGATATCCCATACTTGCATGTATCAGTTTCTCTTCTACTAACTAAATTCAGATGATGCAGAACGCAAAAGTATATGAACATGTACAGTAACTGTCCAATAACTTCAAAATTATCAAGAACGGATAAGTGCCTCTTTCAACTTCATTATTTCTTTTTCCCTTTTCTATTTTATTTTTATTTTTGATAAGTTATGCCTCTTTCAACTTCGTACATTCATACAGTTGGTAATTTCAAATGTTCAACATGATAACTCTAAATTTTAACAGCAAACAGATTTTACATGAAAATGCTAACAAAGTTGGGCTAGTCAAGATAAGGTCAGCACACAAAGAAATTCAAGGTAACAATACATTAGTCAACTCGGATATAGTTCCTCTAATATAACTTTCTAGAGAATCTTTCAGGATTCAGACATAAACACCATATTCTTTGATGAAGACATAAACACCATATTCTAAAAGGTGAATTACTAAGAATATGGGGCACATAGCAAAAACAGTATAAACAATAATCTTACACATGCACAATAACCAAATGATTATCATTTGACACACCATTCTACTGAATAGAAAGTGATTAGAAACCACAAATTAACCATCCAGAGGATATTCGGCCTCTGAAATTGAGAGTAACCAATAAGCAACTGAACTAATAACGGAATGTAAAGAATGTCATGAGATAAGTTAGGAACCTCATAATTGGTGATAATACCATTGTGCACAACCAAAAAGTCATTTCCAGCACCAGAACTTTGAGGATGACTATTCTTAGGAGCAGGCTCCCCATGTGTGGCCCACCGGGTGTGTGATATTCCAGCATGAACAGAAAATGATTCTTCGAGATTCAAATCTGTAGCAGCAACATCTGAGCAAGTGAAGTCAATGTTAGAGTCAGAAAATGATACTCGATCACTGGAATTTTAAGTGTAAATGTAAAAGCAGACGCAAATAAGAAACGTTTAAGGAAGTTTAAAAACATTTTGATCTAAGAAAAGGACAACTTCCTCCTAGGCTAGGATACCCCATAATCATAAATGATCAGTGTTTTAGAATGTAATCCATATGTAATATAGCAAAACGTTGGTGGCAGCAAGAGATTGGCAGATTCAGCAGTCCAACACAGGCATTGTTCAATATCAAGCAAAATGCACTCAGCTGTACAAAAGGCCTGGAGTTAAAGTTAAAAATATTTGGCACAACAGGTGATGGTAGTTCCAACATGGAACATAGCAATTGCTAAATACCATGGAAAATGTACTCAGCAAACTGTCAAACTATGCCGCGAAAGCATAATATAATGGGAAGGTCTTTCTAATTAAAAGAATGTGGAAAGGGCATACAGATTGGGGGGG